TTTAATAACAGCTAAAGGTGACATAGATACTTTATTGTGGTATAGAATTTAAATGTATGCCTGAGAAACACATAATATTGGCCCTTTAAGATTTCTAAAACCAACCCCACAGACTTTCACCAAAGAAAAAATAACACAGATGATATTCTTGACAGGTATTAACATTTCTTAACATCTGATTGGCAGGCATTAATGGTTCAGATGATATCCCTCACAACACTGGATTTGTGCTGTTCCTAACATTTTTTATGCAAATGTTCTATGACTTCATCATTTTTAAAATGACATAACCATTAGCTTCTAGTCTACACTCATTTCAATTTGTTCAATATATTTATATATGCATTCCAGCTTTATGGCGTCTATTGATAAGTGCTTTGTGGTTTTAGAAGGTCTCCACTGTAGGTGTGGCACAAATTTCCCCACCATTTCTTCTTTGAATGCATCAAAGCAAACTCAAATGAAACCGCGGTTAAAAAAGTGTAACTTCCCATTTTAAATCTCTCCTYGCCGGGATTAATTTCGCCTTTAGAAACTCACCCCAATGTTTTGCTTTCTCATTCCACTTTCACGCCAGCTGATGCTCGAATCAGTTTGAGACCGTGAGAATGCAAGGAGTGGAATGGGGAAGCAGCAGGGCGCATCGTGCACGCTGCTAAGCTTGAAAAATGTATTTCCAGACTCTGGTGAAACCAACTCAAAGGAAGCAGCTGCAGATAGATGCTGGACTATTAATCAGTTCTGTGTGATCAGATTAGACCTGCTCTTGCTGCTGTTGTGCTTTTGCTGATGTGGATTATGGTTTGTTTAAGAATAAAAAAAGCAATGTAAGGATGGTATTTCTTGAATTTAATTCTTTAGTACTGAACGGGAAAATCTGCATTCGCTACATAAATTAATTATTTTTGCAGAACCGTGTTTTCATGCTGGCAGAAATGATGATGCTCTAAGCCCTTTAGGAACTTCTGTAAGTGTGTTAGGACCATAGGTGGTGATGGCACACCATGTGAGGACAGTGAAAGATTGCTATCATTAGAGAGAGCATGGGTTTGGCACTCTCTTCGAGGGGCAATGGTGCATACCTAACAGATGCCTTGCACCCCCTCAGCAAAGCCACCAACTACATGCAATAAGGCCTGTGCGTGCAACACTTAGCATTATCGCTGCAGACGCAAATGTGAAGGAGCTGTGAGGGGATGACTTTTATGGACGGAAGAAGTGACCAGTGGCAGAGCCAGACATTTTTCTCAGGTGTGGCCAGACTGGGACCACTTCTCACACAGGGATGGCCAGGAAAATTACATATTTTTTTTACTTGAAAGTTACTGCAGATCTTTGTGTTTTGATCATTTCCTTATGTCTTTATACAGGAAGTGACAACCTCATAAACTTGGGCATCAGAACCATTTTAAAAGTGGGGGGACACACTGTGGGGGTCCTCCCCCAGAAAATTTTGAACAAAATAGATGCCGTTTCCTGCATTCTGATGTATTTTAACAGGTTGTTAAACATAATTTTACCTACATAAATAAACACTTGATTTAATAATTATTTCAGAGACAGGTTATTTATTAAACTAGTTCCATCATCCTGTTTTAAACTCACTGCTGCTGCTGAGATAAGGTTAATCAATGTGACACAATTTACCATATCCAATGATTTTAAGGGTGCTTTTTACTTGTATATTGTTTATTGATTTATTTTTAATTGCAACACATGTCATTTTGCCAAATAATAATGACCCCCAGCTGCATGTTTAAAACTAATATTAATAATTTTACCCAATGAACGGGTGCAACACTGATAACCACCAACAGTGAATTTAGAAGGGTGTTTCACTTTTTCTGATTTAGTTAGAGGTCTACTCATAACTAAAAGGGACAGCATCACACAGCCTTTAATCACAGCATAAAAGGACAAAAAAAAAAAACAAACATTTGTCATCATAAGTCCAAAAGTTGACCCATAAGTCAGATTACACAGTCAAATGTTCTGTATATATAGAAAATCATCACTTCTTTGTCATTACTCTTCTTCAGTGATAGAGCTTGGTAATGTTTCAAACTGTTAAACACTGCCACCAACTGTTCAGGAGGATTATTACACCCCTAAAAGTTGTGTCACTGTGCAAGGGGTGTGTACAGCAGGGTGGCCAATGGGGTGGCCAAAGATTTGTCTGTGGTGGCCATGGCCACCCCTGGCCACCCCCTGGCTCCGCCCCTGGAAGTGACCGAGTTGTGAACGTGGACTCTGTTGCACTGAGCTAAAAGAAAAAAAAACATCTTCTTCTTTGCATAAAAGAAATGCAGATATAATAATTTCATTAGTGTTTTCTGGGAGACTACTTCAGCAGATTTACATCAGCTATGGTGTTCACCAACTGGTCATCTGGTTTTTGCTGAACAAGCACCAATGTCCTTCTGGTTGCTGCTCCTGCAAGAAAGGCCTTGGGTATAGCCCATAGTAAAACTGCTGAAGACATTTTTTTGGACTTGCTATAATTATTGCCCACTGCTAAAAATGAAAGGTGGATTAATTTCTTTGTGTTTGTTTGTCTTCATTTTTAGCAACATTTCTACTAAAGCAATGGATGGCTTTTAATGAAACTATCGGAACATAATCATTAGTTGTACAACTGATTGCCTTTTGTCAATCCAGTTCAAGATGGCCGCCATGTCTAATCAAGTCAGTTTTACAGAGGTTGAGCTAATGCTTGATATAGTACTACCCAGAGCACAATTGTACAGTATTTCACCAGATCTGTTGTAATTTGACCAAAATGGCTATAACTTCTCCACATAAAAGGATCCATCATGAAATGTGGCGAGCACTGTGCATTCTTTCAAGAAATGCTAGTCCTTTACTTTGACACAACTTTTACAAGGTTAGCATCACAATTTTTTTCCTAAAACAAGTTTGACAAAAGTTTTTGCTCCACAGTGGTGGAGTTGTTTAGCACGGATGTCGGCTGGGATCTTTTTCTGCGGAGGTTTTATGTTCTTAGCGGCATGGTGGTTCAGTTGGTGGAGCTGTTGCCTYTCAGTAAGAAGGTTGCTGGCTCGAATCCCAGTTCTCTCCTTACATGAGTGGGTTTCCTCCATGAACTCCTGTTTCCTCCCACAGACAAAAAACATGAATGTTAGGCTAATTGCTAACTTTAAATGGTGCCCAGGTGTGAGTGAGAATGTGAATTGTTTGTCTCTATGTGGCCCTGTGATGATATTATGATTAGGGCAGCTGTGACCCTATAGGAAGAAGTGAGTAAAGCTAATGGATGTAAGGATGGATTTCATGTTCTTCATAGGTTTTCTCTGAACATTTTGTTTATCTATCACAGTCCAAAAACATACATTTTTCAATAATTGGCTACTCTAAATTGTCCGTAGGAGTGAGTGAGTGAGTGAATGTTTAACTTGTCTCATTTGTCTCTGGTGACCTATTCAGGATGCACCTTGCTTTTCTCCCAATGCAGTTTTTTGCAACCCAACACAGCAGCAAGTGAGTAAAGAAACAAGATAAATAAATTAAATGTACAAACTGAAAAAAAAATCTTTCAAGATAATTAACTTTTTTGGTGGAGTGAAATCTTAAATCTTTCATAAAAAAGTAAAAATGATCAGAAAGTAGATTTTGGCTCTGTCATATGTAAATACGCTTGAAGGGGTTTCTTGATTGGGAAACCGCAACATCTCCCAAACAATGAACAAATTTCACTCCAGTTTGACTGAAATGACTTCCTGTCACCATCGGCTGATTCTGATTGAATTTTAAAGCTGATACATTCGCAGGTGCTGTCACTGCTGCCAACACACTGAAGCAAATCAGTGTGTAGAATTGATGATGAAGAAAGACTAGAGAGACTTTTATTTAGTTGTTCTCATCTGTCTAGATTTAACCAAACAATAATCGATCAAAGCAAAGAGGTTCCACAGTTTGAAATGTCATTATGAAGCCCTGACAAAAGGCAACATTCAGTTATCTTTCATTAACGACAGTGCTGAAGTGTAATATTACAGATTTGTGCKTTTTAGAATGACAGATACATGATTGGCAGCTGTTTATCTTCACACCACCTCCTTTCCTTTTTAGGATTGAACAAAAAAAAAGTTTGACCACATGGATGTCAAGAAGCCCATGTCTTACCATGATGAAAACGTTCCTACCTTGCTACTTTCGACACAGTCTATTTCCCATCGGTATCTGCCCTCCGTGAACGCTTTGATTTAGTGGTCTGTCACAGCTGTGTGCACATGCGCGCGTTCTCACAACTTCTCTCTCCACAGTGCATTAATTGAATTTCTAGACATAAAGATTAATTCTTTATTCACCCCTGCTGATGGTTGGTAAATGAGGCAGCGGCAAAGTGTAGTCAGTCAGGCAGGAACAATCTATGATTGTTGGCTTTTTAAATGACGTCTTTATTTATTAACAATCATTTATATTTTGTCTGGATGTGTTTTACAATCGTTTTACAGACGACTCAGACCAGCGGGTTTTTGAAGCAGGGAGGACATGCATGAAATGAATTGTTCCACTTCGCCTCCGACCAGCGCTCTTCTTTTAGGGGAACAATTTGTCGGCTCACAAAGAAGGGAGGGAAGAAAGAAGGAGAGGTGGCCAAGCAGCAATTTGACACTGTTGGAAGATTCTGTAATGCAGCAGTGTATTCTTGATGGGGATTTTTGTTGGACACCTCTGTTTTCTATCCAAGTATA